CCCCAAAACCCCAAAACCCCAAAACCCCTTATAAGTTAATAAAAATTGAAAAATGAATGTTTGAATTGCAAGGAAATCTGACAAAAAGACATGCCAGATGTCAAGTCTTGAACGTCAAAGGAACCCTTGAATAAAGCATAGTGAAAGCTTCAAGGGACTTAAATAAGAATAGTAAGCATTTTGGTATAAATCCATAGAGATTGTGCCTCTAAATGAGTTGTTGTAAGTCTTCCTAGAAAATTGCAATTGATATATTAGCAATTACAGCTTATTATGACTTGAGTGATATATTTATTCAAGCATTCTAACTCAGAATAAGCATTTATTAGCTAAAATATGTATAATCTTGCGGTTCTGTTATGATCTGGATTTTAGTAAGCGATTTGATCCTACAAACTCATCATCAAGAGCTTCTAATCAATGAGGCATGAAAAGAATTGGGAGTGAGAAGCAATACAAAGTAAGTTTAGAGATTACCATGCCTTTTTAGGCAATTTTATAACTGCTATTATAAAAAATTATTTTCAGATTTTACCCTTTTCGATAAATTATGATTTCTAATAAGTAAAAATCCTAAAATAACAACGCTCAAAACTTTACTACCTTTGTGCTAAATTAAATTAGCTAAAATATTTTATCGATATATTAATTTAGAAATTGAGCATTAGCAAATTTGCTTACAAGAGCCATAAGCCAAGAATAAACCAGCACTTACCTCAGAATTATGCACTTCACAGCAGAGGGCTAAAGAAAAGCCAGAAGCCTCCTGTTAACCCATCTTTTAACTTTATCATTGCGGTATCAAGGTTATTAACTCTATTTAGAAGAAGGTAATGAACAAGGAGCTAAATTCTCCTGAATCCTCTAGTGGCGAATTTGATTCATTGTACAATTTATATCTAATATTTAGGAAAGCGAAGTTCTTCAACGAAGTCATCTCTCGCAAGATGCTTGATAATGTAAGCCACCGCTTCTCATCTTTAGGATTTCAAAAAATCACTTAATTTTTACCATCCTCACAATAGAACAAGGTGAGATTTAGAAAATAATTCTAGACTTTTGGAGAAACAGGAATCCTTAAAAAGCTTAAAATGCTCGAAAAGGTCAAAAAGTAGACTTATTTAACTCACTGTATAGTTTTAACTTGACCTTCAAGCCCAACAAGTTTTCATAAAAACTCTTCCCTTGTTCTTACAAAAGACTCCAGATGTAACACTCCCCTCTCCATAAACCAAATCTCCTTAAAATAAGTACCTTATTCCTCCAACTCCTAGGAAAATTCCCAAACCCCTTAAGAAAATGAAGATCATTAAACTTAAAAATCTGACTACAAATCCATCAATCAGCAGTAAGCCTTGGCTTAGCCAAGCCTAGTGATGGTTTAGACCTGAGTAATTTAAGAAGGAAGATCAAGCTCTTTGGAACAGTAAGGAGGATTTAGTATGAGTGGTTATTAGTATTTTTTTATTGGTAAAATTAGATTATCTACTGTGGCCTATATTTAACCAAAATGATAGAAACCTATTTTGAAGAAGAATAAGGCTCTACAAGCTGAAATTTCAACGTAAGTGAAGATCTTTGGGGGTTAGGTGGTGGTTATGTGAATAAAGGAAGCTGAAATTTTTTGGGTTAATTGTGATTTTATAGGCTGAATTGCAAGCAAGACTACTTTGACAATAAGAATTTGTATAACAGAAGTAATTTTTCTTTGAGAGAAGGAAGGTATAGTACTTTAAGAACAAATGATTAACTATTCAATTTAATTCGGTAAAAAGTTTCAAAGCTCTAAATGATCTAAATTTTCATGCAAATTTGCTGTAATTTTTCATGCTTCACTACTCCAGATTCTTCTTAAGGATCTCCATTTCTTAAAATTATTGTTCGCTTCCAAAATCTATACTTAACAGTCAGCTCTAATTTTAGCTTGTAACAGATCTGGGCAATGACCATGAACAATGTCTACAATATGCTAATTTAGGATTAAGAATGTAAAAACATTAAATTTAAATTTTCAAGATAGGCTAAATAATTTAGTGAAGATTTGGAGGGGTGGAATGGAAATGTTTCAAAGGAAGAAAAATTTAGGGAGTATTGAATACTATTCTTGATTTTTTTGGAAAAAGTAAAGTTCTGATAGCTTAAATTGCTAACTCCATAAGATTATAAATTAAATTTACTTCATTTCTATTAGAAGAAACTATCAAAGCACACCCACCTTCAACACCACTCCCATAAATCCCCACCCTCTTCCCTCATTCCTCCCCAAAAGTCGCACTCAAATCCCCCAAAATCCCAAAACAACTTAAAAACTTACCCTTTTCACTATAATACCATGCACAAATTTCTACTAAGCTCGAAGATATCATCCCCAGTGAAATTTAGAACTGACTCCTATATGAATGTCATAAAAAATAGATATTAGTCTTTGAAGTAAGGACAGGGTGAAGAAGAGATTTGGGCGTAGGGGTGAGACATCTTAGATGTTAAACTGATATTATTTTCAATAGAGATATTAAAATATGGGGTTTTGGGGTTTTGGGGTTTTGGGGTTTTGGGG